CAAAGATTATTTCTGAGGGAAAAAGTAAACATATAAAAGAAACTGGTTTGTGTCAGCTTTGACTTTCCAGGGTTTTTGGCTTTGTGGTACTCAATACTTATCTTACAAAGGTAACATAACCAAGATTTTTCCTTTTTTGTTTAAAGAGGTATAAATAAGTGGAAGACTTTAGCCCTGGGAAAATCATAATACAAAGTGTTTTAAGAATTATTCTTGGAACTTTTAACCCCCTTTTGTCATTTTAGCTTTCAAACATGCACCCTAAATTAGTATTAAAAAGCAGGACTCAGTATCCACTGTCCCGTGATGATTTTAATAAGTGAAGTTTACCCGAATCTACTTTTTCTCATCCTTTTACTGTTTTGGTCTGCCTTTTCTGCATCCTACTGGTCCCCTCCCTTATACATCTTTGTCTAGTGGAGTAATTCTAAACATATTGTCATATTTTTGTTCAGATTACCAGCATCATTTTTAACATTTTCAGCCAAATAAAATTTTATTTCCTTGCAAATCATAAAGCATTTAGTTGTGTCAAATTATAATTAAAAGTCATAATATTAATAGACCTCCTATACAACTGTATAAAACATACAGATTCTTCAGATGCAGTTTTGCTCCATTTTGAAAACGGATTTTTAAAATATACAGCTGCATAGTATATTGTATATGTTAATGACAAATGTTCAGCAAATGTGGACTATGAAAGAAAAAATATTATGCTTCTAAAAATAGTGTTATCTGCTTATTCTTTGGCTGTAACGTAGCTGGAACGCTGCATTTGGGGCTGTCTGCGTGTGTTTTTTAAAATGTCATCTTTATTAGTATTACATTCAAGGGATAGTACCAAGAATCAGTTTCTATATAAGTCTGTGACGGGCGACATTACAGAAGGTCATGTCACTTTTAACTGCTTGCATTACATCTTTCTGATTTCCCTAGTGCCCTTCTTTTGTTTGATTAACACTACTTGCTTTCAAGCAAGGTATCAGAAAGCATAATTTGGAAAAAGAATTCTAGGGCCAATCTGAGATATTCCCCCTTACAAAAAGAGGAAAAAAACCCCAACTTTGTAAAAATGTATCTTTTCTAACACATGCATTTTTGTCACTCTTCATCTTTTGTTTTCCTCAAGGAAATCCTACAGATGTGTTGTTATTAAATTATTGCTGACAAATGTTTGGGCAACTGGACTTTGTATACTTGAAAACAAAACTATGTAGCCCTTATTTGGTTTTATTTGAAGAGGAAAGAGCTGGAATTTGAGACTGGGACTCCTTTATTTTATTTGTTTCCTTAGTTAAGTGTTAAACCCCAGCACTCTTTCTAAATAGTAGGTGTTACTTGAGTTCTCTGGGAAAGGTTGCAATTTTGTGCAATCCTTAAATACACTTCAGTGATAGACACAGTTTGTTTTTAAAAGCTCAGTTTGCAGTTTCTGTATTCATTGCATTTGTCCAGGGCTTATGTCTTAGAGCACAGCCCAGCTTCTGAGACACTGTTGCCTTTAAAGCCATCCATTTCATTGGACCCTTAAAGCCTGAAAATTCGTTGTGAAACCATTATCATTTTAATTGGGAATCTTTATCCACCACTCTACGTGTGCCCCTTTATATGTTCCTTAGTGTCAATGAAACAACCAGAATTGTGTATGTCATTCAGAACCCTGAATATTTTGCCCAGGAAAAAATATATATATCATTTAATTTCCAAAAATTAATGTTTAAATATTATTAAATTGATGTTATTTCTACTTTTATTAGTAGCTCACGTTTTTCAGTACTTCGGTACAGGAACTGTGCTGAGCACTTTAAACACACTGTCTCACTGGACCCCTAATCAACACTGTGGGGAAGGTGTTATTATCATCTCCATTTTCCAAGGTACCTTAAGCTTCATCTGAGCAAGCTGTAACAGTGGGATACATTCTGAAGCAGCTTAAAGGCATCACTAGGAAACCATCTGTATTATAAATCCTCACTTGTAGATGTTTATGTTGTAACGTTAAAAAGTCACTGGAGGAGGGGAAAAGCCCTCACTCGGGTGCTACAACACAACACAAAGGCCTCGCGCTAACACAACATTTTTCTGCCAAATGTAAAAGCAAATAGTTGTGTTTGGGTGATTCTGGCTGCGCATTTGTGGGGCAGTTGTGCGTAGCCAATTACCCACTTGTGCAGGGTGGGAACAGTTTGGGTTTTGCAAATGAAGAGCCTGATTCTGTAGACCTTTTGAGTCCTTCTTGAACATAAGATCTGCAACTGATTTGTGAAATGCATAAATTAACTTCCTGGTGTTTCTATGGTTCAATAATATTTTGAATCTTTGAAAATTAACTTAAAGATAGTGGAGATCTCCAGATCTTAAAGTAACGGTTAAATATCCATGCTTTCTATTGCCAGGCACAGTTTGAATATTTGATTTATTAATCTGCATCATTGATTAGGTATGTCTTTGCAGGTGAGCTAGTTGAGTTCTGTGAGATAAATGATAGGCCCTCTACCAAAATGCATGTTCAAAGATATGAAGCATAGATGAGGTTTTCTTCTGTTCAGTCTATCAACAAATATTTCTTGAATACTTATTATGAACTGCTAAGCACAATCTGACACCTTTCTGCCTTCCTTGCACTGTAGTACGACGGTAAGTACTGAAGAGGAGAGATACATAATACATTCTTAACAATAACCACCTAAAATATTGTTTGATTTTTATGTATAAGAATAAAAGTATAATATTCATTTCATTTTCCATATTTGATATATGAGTCTACATGAGTAGTTTTAGGAAAAAATTACTTAATCTAATATATATCAAATAATCATATTGTATAACTGAAATATATATAATTTTTATTTTTTAAAAATAGATAATGACAACCTTAAAATATTACTTAATATAAATCTAAAATTTATAACACCATTTTATAAGAGATATAAAAGTATAATCATTAAAAAAATCATGTGAGAGGTCAATCGTTTCTTTGTTTTTCTTTTCCTTTTTTCCCTTTTTTTTTTTTTTTTTTTGTTTTTAAAACTGGGCAGGGTTTCAGTTCTGCCCAGTGGGAGGCTGTGCTATCCCACAATCTGGGTCTGAATTCTAGTTTAGCTATTTGCTGTGTTAGGTGAATTCTTTTGATGCAACACAATGTACTGAAATATTGTGACTGCCTCTCCTATTTCAGCCTCCATCACAAAGGTCCCAGTTTGGAATAGTCTGGCATACAGCACCTCAATTATACATTGTCCATATATTTATGATATGCATGCTCCAAATTTTCAGAAAGTTAAAAGTCAACATGAAAGGCTATCTGATAGCCCCCATTTAAATTCTATTGGATTATAAGCCTCTTGTGGGCTGACATGACTATAGATCAAGTATATGTGTGTTATTCATCTTTCTATTCCCACAGTCCCTAGTACTGTGTGCCTTGGACAAGGGCATTTGTAATAAATGCTTATGGAGTATCTGAGTATAGTTAGAATGTCAAGAGTCCTTCCTTGCTGAGGCTGAACTACTTTATATGTCCCCAAAATCAGTGTAAACTCTAACCCGATAAAGGAAACAGAACATTGTGCTACTCTGATTCTTTTGAAATGCTGAGTGTCCAAATGAAAGACCACCAGATTCTACCACTTAATAGAAGATTTAAAGTATGACATTAAATTAAGAACAGTTTCCCTGTTTGTCAGATACGTTTAGTTATATATCAGTTCGTGAGAACTAGAAGTTTGTGTTTGGGTTCTCCTTTTAAATCCGTTAATGCTTTTAGAAACTTTGAGAAAAATTATTAGGATAACTGAGCGTCCTGACGTATTATCTCAGTTTATGTAACTCTTTGTTTAGTAAGTCTTAGTTACTGAAGTTTTCATTCATAGCATATTCCTGTCTCTATCCTAAAGCCACATGAAAGAAGAGCTAGCCGTCTCTGTCTTCTAAAGTTAGGAGCTTTGGGAGAAAGGTTTAAAAATATTTGATAACCATGATTCTGTCGAGTTTATTCAGAGATAAAGATACTGGATAAAAAAATAGAAGCACCACAGGAAATTATATCAAATGGCGTAAATACAGTGATAAGTTAGCACTTACCTGAATAAGAGCTCCCCCCAGAGTTTTTAAATTTTTGGATTCCATGGAGTGTGTGTGTATAAAAACATGATAGCACACCTGAAATGGGGTGAGGTCTCATTTGTAATGCCGGTAGTTATATATTGATCCAGGCAAGGGGAAATTATTTGGCAAATCCAAAAGGACTATACCATTCTGCTGAAGTAGGTAAACGAGGAGCCATTAAAAAATACATGCGTGCATATCTATCTACATGGGTTCTATATACATAATATACACATTTGATTATTGAATACATCTTTTTTTTCAGTAGTAATGTTCATTTTCATAACGTAATCCATGTGTAAAATCACAGAGAATTAAAATTAGAGTTTCAGGTAATCCACAAAATGAACAAGTAATCCAGAGATGGTCAAGAGTTGACACTATATGTCAGAATTAAAATTGGAGCCATGAAAGATATTGTTAGCTTTATGCCATAGCTCACCAGCATGAATCAATGAACAGGCATAGATTTTTATCTTAGGGTTTGGTGACAAGTAAATTAGAAATAGCAGAGCTGTTTTCTGCTTAGTTATCTAGCTCCAAATTTAAAGTGCCTAATTAATATAGACAGTGGAGTAGGTAAAAAAAGAAATCTCCTGATTTAAAGCATCCTTCAAATGAGTGTTAGTTTACCTTATGCATATTTCCAATTCTTTAAATTGTCACAGGACATTTCACACAAATAGGGTTCCCCTGACTGGGATTCAGTTCCCTGGTGTTCATCAATTAAAGGCATAGCATTTTCCTAATCCCTGTCTCTAGATCAGATATTCCCTCTCAGTGCGGCCGTTTCAAATGTTAATAAAGTTTTCACTTCTAAAAGGTTCAAAATGACAGAACAAAATTCTCTCCTTTAAGAGCATGAAAACGACTTCTGTTTCCGTCTGCAGGTAGTGGAGGACATGCTAGAGGACGAGGAAGAAGAAGATGACAAAGATGACAAGGTAATTATCTTTCCCAGCACTTGGGTACCTGGGGATGGGGAAATGTAGACATGACACTGTTTTCACAGACAGTTAAAAAGGAGTTGAAGTGTTTGAGTCCAGAAAATTGGACAGTGCTGTTTATCATCCTAACAATGCCACTGCATGTTGCAAAGAGGGAGAGAGGGCTATAAATCGTCTTCGCTTTTGTCCAGAGCTGGGTCAAATATTTTTCTGCCAGGAACAAAAAAAAAAAAAAAATTCAGCTTGTCTGGAACTTGATAGCTCTCACGAAGATAACGACAGTGACAACTGTTTTTGAAGGGCAAAAATTTGTCCTATCTTGAGTATTACAAATCAGGCTACACTCGGGGGGAAGAGAGGAGTGAAAAGAATAGCAGCCTGCATGTGTCAAACATGGATATTGTCATCTGTAATTTTCCAAGAATTGCTCAGCAAAACAACACGTGTGCGGAGGGCTCCAGAGGGCATTTAAATAATCCCAGTGCTCACTGCCCTGGCTTAGACTTGGAATGGCCCGTGGCATCTTGGTCAGGAAAATCTGTTCAGAGAGGCTCGTGTTTCGATTGCTGGTTGGCTTGGGGTTGGTGGCTACAGTAAATAACAGCTAGTTTCTGGGACTGCTTGCATTGGTTGTCCCCTGGGGAGAGCGGACAACTGGAAGGAGGAATCAGAATGGCCTTGCACCACTGCAGCAGTGGCTGAGGTCGGAAGAACAGCTTTCTATGGCAAGGAGGATAGTGATGCTGGTTTATCATCATCTTTGGGCACTTCTAGATCTAAAATCCAAAAAGTCTTAGGGTGCGATTGAGGGGGGGAGTGACCGAGGGGGGAGTAAAAATATCATTCATTATTTCCACATTGTTCAGCCTATAAAACCAGATTTTGACCTTCATGGAATCTATCCGACTTCTGCTATAGTAAAGCACTGAAATTTTTTAAAGAAAGGAGAAAAACAGTGTATCTTAATTTATGCCCTTGACCTTTGATTCCAGTAGAGATGTACACTTGTATCCCAGTATAAGAATTTGAGTGCTGGAAGCAAGCATTGGAAATGTCAAAAAAAATTCACAGTGATTAGTTAACTTCCCAAATGGTTTTTTTCCTGACATATTCAATGCTCGAAGGAAAACAGAAACATACACGCACGCACACTTTCTCCCTTCTACTGCTGCTTCAAACATTTTTAAATTCATAGAGTTTTTATGTGAGATTTTTCTTCTGGACATCATTTAGTCATTAGCAACATCATCAAACATAAAGTAACAAGATCTCCTTTCTGCAAAAACACGTATGTGCTTGTTTTTAATGTTGAATAACGTGAGCATACACTTCTGGCAATAAATGATATGATTTATTGTTAAGGTCAGTTGTAGAGCTGTAGAGAGCTTGTATTTAAACTCAACATGCCAGCTCTGAATCATCATTTCTCTGCTGATAAACACTGAGCTGCCATCCATTTATGGCCATTTTCCCTTGCTTGTTGCTGCTTTATTATTAAAGCCACCTTAAAGGTCCATTCTGGTAGCAGGCGTTTCCCGAGAAATGTTAATAAGTGGAAACCCTTGGTGAAGTCTAGTACTGCCCCTGCTTGAAGTCACCCTATATTTTTTTAGCCAGTTTGTTGATATTCTATACCACTAATCTCCCTTTTTGGTCATCTTTTAATAGAGAGGGTGTTAGGAGTGGCACACTGTTAGACGTTAGCACACCTGGTTAACCAGTTCACCAAAACATAGATGTCAAGTAGAACATGCCAGGGTGGAAACAACCCCAGATCTCTGGAGTGGCATCTGTTGTTATCCAGTGTTTGGTTGTCTGAGATTGACACCCTGGTTCTAACGTATTTTCAGGTCTCGTTACCAAAGTTGATTGAAAGCGAGCGCTTAAATGACTGTGTGAATTTAACTGTATTCTTCTGTACAGGATGCCGACAAACGGTGTGTTTTCCATATGGAAGGATTGTGAGCTGATTTTCATAAATCCAGCCCTTTATTTGAGTGATATATAAGAAGGTTTTGCTTTTTTTCACTCATAATGCAATTGATAGTATAAAAATCATATCTGAACAAAAATAAAATTTCAAATGTAATAATTTACAATAGACTTTTAGGGACTTGCATCATAGAGGGAAGAATCTTAGAGTGGAAAGCTTATATTCTGGAAATACAAAGTTTTTAATATAAGAAATGAAAACATGAAAGGATCCTTCAAGTTTCTATTTACCAGTCTCCGTCTCTCGACTGGCTCTCGCAGTGGTAAATGTAAGTCTTGGCTATCAGATGTGTCTGAGTGGGAGAAGGGTAATTTCCCACTTTAAAAAATTCATTGGTTCCTCTATTTAAAGTTTGTGTTTAGAGTCATGCGTAATGGGGTTTCATGAGAAAACAAGTGTGTTTTTTGCCATACGAGCAGGTACTGACCTCTAGCTCTCATTATTTCTCTGTTTTCTCATATGGTATAATAGTGGGGTCAGGTCGGTGGGTCCTCTTATAGGATAAAAGTAAAAAAGATTAATAAATGTGCCAAAGCCTCACTTTAATTGAACCTGAAGCATATGTTGCAAGTATGTAAAATACATCCCAGATGTTTCACCAGGGCTAGTGTCTTGGCTTTCCCTGATTACCACAAGGCAGCTATTAGTCCTGTAACCTTTGGACTTGGGGGTAAATGGGGTATTACGTGGCACAGAATGAGAGCACCTGTTTTCCATTCAGCAAAGACCCCTGGCAGGCTTTGCCTAAGCCCATTCATATGTTTTCACTTAGCAGATTGTTGGGCGATTATGAAAAGTGTCTTTCTTTAGAGCCAGCATTGATATTAGTCACTCACAATGAAAGGACAAGTCATTGGCTACTTGACAAGGTCCGTGTGAGCAGAAACTGAAGTTGTTCACTTCTTTTGAGCTTGGAGTGTTTTCCCTCAACATAATTACATAGATGGCATGTATAGACACAGGTATGAGAAATTGAAGCAAAGATGATAATTACTTAACAGAATAGTTTTGTAATAGCTTTTCTTTAGTACTGACCTTAGCACCTGGGAAGACTTTGGTTAAAGTTGGTAAAAACAAAGTCATGGTTTACCTGGATTCCCAGATCTTGAAGGTTTTCCACGTTGTGGACTATGAGCATTTTTTCGTAAGTTCTTCCTTTTTACTAAAACAGCTAATCTTTAATCAGGTGAGGGTTTGTGATGCTCAGACTTATCCTTTATTCTAAGAATCCATTGTCCACATTTGCTTAAATCTAAAATTAGGCGGCTTCTCTCTTAATCCAATTCCGTGGTTTTCACAAAGGCAGAGAATATGGGTCTTAGTTATAAATCATTGACTTGTTAATATTTTCACTTATATCTGCATTATGTAGTAGCTCTAGGTTAAGCTGTGCTGGAGATGAAATTTTTCTTGAATTAAATGTTAGAAAGACGTCATATTGCATTCTCATTTGCCTTTGTTGTAAAGCATTCTTTCAGCCATCAACCACAAAGTCACAGTTTGATCTGATTTTTTTACCTGACACCAAATTCTGCCTTTGTGGTTAATACAATATCTTTATAAATAAGGCTTAGGTAAATTACCTACGTGGAACTATCAGCAAACCATATAATAGTGTTTTTCCCCATGTTACATATAATAATACAGTGGTCAATCTGCATAATCTAGACATCTAATTAATGAAGATTAGCTTTTGTTTTGTAGCTTTAAAAGTTTAGGCATGCTTCCCGTGTTGTGTCCTACCGTTATAATAGGATCCAGCTGCAGTATCAGGAAGTAGAAGATAGAATGCAGGTTTTCCTCAGGAAAAACATGGATCCAAATGCGTGGCATTCTAGTAATGTTTATCGAAAAAAGATATTAAAATGTTCAGACATTTATGCTTACATTGCTTCTCTTTTTTCTTCAGCCATTATGTCAAGCTTACTGTGTTTCAAGATAAGTAGCTACAATGAATGAAATATATCTCAGCTACGTCAGAACACAGATTATTTGCCTTAATTCTCAAGATCTGTATTTTCTGGCTTGATCCTCCAGCCCTAAACATGTATATAATATACCCAAGATGCATACATCTCTGCATCTCAAATTAATTGTGAGGAGGGGGAAGAAAGAGATAACTCTAATAAGTAAGTGGTATGAGAGGAGCTTTTAATCTGACAAAACGGTATTTTCTAGCTATAGTCAATGAAATAACTACATGGTGGGGAAATGGATTAAAGCTTTGGAGAAAGGCAGGAAAGGAGGAGACAAAAAAAAAAAAAATCCTAACGTATCTTTAAGTGGAATACCATTGTATTAGCTTATTAGTATTTTATTTTTTATTTTATTATTTTTTATTTATTATTTATTTTAAAATTTTGTGGTTAGTATTTATTAGTAGTATTATTGGTGTTATTGCTGCATAACAAATTATCACAAACTTAGAGGCTTTTTTAATTTTAAAATATTTATTTGCTAGGACTAGTAATAGTTCATTATAAAATGTTAAAATAGGATTTCTGTTTCTTTTTTTCATATTTTAATTTTATTGGAGTATAGTTGATTTACAATGTTGTGTTAGTGGGCAGCAAAGTGATTCAGTTATACATATACATATAGTCATTCTTTTTTAGATCCTTTTCTCATATAGGTTATCACAGAATATTGAGTAGGCTTCCCTGTGCTGTACAGTAGGTCCTTGTTGGGTAAATCTACCTTATATATAGTAGTGTGTGTATGTTCATCCCAAGCTCCTGATTTATCCCTCCCCCGCTCGTTTCCCCTTTGGTAACTGTAAGTTTGTTTTTGGTATCTGTAAATCTATTTCTGTTGTGTAAATATGTTCATTTGTATCTTTTTTAATTAGATTCCACATATGAGTGATATCATATGCTATTTCTCTTTCTCTGTCTGCCTTTCTTCACTTAGTATGATAATGTCTAGTTCCATCCATGTTGCTGCAAATAGCATTATTTCATTCTTTTTTATGGCTGAGTAATAATATTCCATCGTATATATGTAC